AAGAGGACTGCGTAACAATATGGAAGACCATAATAAACATTTCCAGCACAAAGGAGAGTGATAAAGCCACTCAAAAGAGTACACCATACAACATTTAAATTAATAAGGAAAAAATTATGATAGTGAAGGCGTGATATGAGGATATAGGATAGGCGAATCGCCTAGGAAAGGATATATACTAAAAGCGTTCATTTGGTGAAGGGATCGGCTTCACTTGTCTCTTTGACGACTTGTAATGTAGTGCTAAGACTTACAAGACTCATTGACGATGTCTTCGAAACGTCTGTTAATGTACTACGTCTACGGTCCTACTATGTATATTATCATGCATACAATGAACTACGGACTAGGTGCATTCTTCCTACCAATATGACCAAGTTGAGAAGTTACAAAATTTCAACCAACAGATAAAGAGACACTAAACTGATCTGCTTAAACGATTTATAAGCAATAGCTAAGTTAGTAACTCGCATCTGGAAGCCGGAACAGAATGTGATCAGTGAGATCGATGGAGGCGGAAGAATTGAGGCATCGGCAATTGAATCAAGCGGGCCGCCCCCATTGTTTCCGATATCAAGGTTGAGACAGGGCACGCCTAGCCTGCAGATAAGTTCTGGTTGAAAACCAGCCGGGAAGTGTCGAACACCAGAGCGAATTGCGATGAAAATCTTAAAGTCCTGCATATCGGAAAAAAATATTTTGGAAAATTCAAAGATGATTTATTAATTGTTGTTAAATAAAATTTTTGACGCACCTAGTGGCCAAAGTGCCATATAAAGCACAAATGAACCAATTAATATCAGATAATCGAAAATAAAATATTTAATTATTACTGTCTTTAGTACTGCTATATATAGACAAAGAAAGATTTATAATCTTCGCTTTCGGTTCGAATGGAATAAGGAGTGCTGAGGACACGCAGGTGAGCGTCATACTCGTGATAAGTTCATGAGATATTTTGAGGAGAAAGGCCTTGAATTATAATGATAGCCTTCTCTATATTTATTTGTCGTAGTGGGGAATAAATAATCCTTACTGCGATGGTATCAATGAACATTTTAACGTAAGTATCTGCATAAAATAAGGCATTTTTAAGAGTCCGTATTAATTGAAGTAAATATTTTTGTAGCAAATTACAACATAGCCATCATGTTGATTCAGGGCCTGATATTAAACGAATAAACCTGGTAGTAAATCATAACTATTATATCTAGTTGCACCTCGAAAGAATATGCCTCAATGAAGTTTATAACAATGGCCACATGGTAGACTACTTGTTAGAATCATTGAATCTTCGTTGTATAGAGGTTTTTTGATCTTGTTTTAGCAATTTGGTCATATTGGTACGAAGACTTAGAGGAACGCACCTAATCCGGAGTCCATTGCATGAATGATCATTTCTAAAGTCGGATCGTGGACATAGTACATTCCCAATCGTTTGGCCGGCATCGTAGTCGGCATCGTCCGTGAATCTCGCCATTCTTAGCATCACATAGCAACTCGTAAGAGACAAATAAAGCCGATCCTTTGACCAAACCTTTGCTAAATAGTTGTGGTATCTCCCCTTCTGCCCTGGGCTATTCACATTTCCTATATCCTCCTATCACACTTTGACTGTTACAATTTTTTCCTTGCTTATTTAAATCTAGTGTGGTGTTCTCATTTCAGTGGCATTCATTAAAACCCTTGACACTTCACATTGGCGCCCTCACCCCCTTCACCATTGTGCTGGGAATGTTGATCAGTCTCACATATTGTTACGCAGTCCTCCTTCCCTAGGTCACAGTCTCCATTTTGCGCTGTAGAATCCGTCTGGTATCGCACTGGTTCAAGCATTTCACTCGACCTCTGCCACCCCATCTGTGCTACGCTAGGCATTATTTTTCACACTCTGAGTATAAGTGATTAATTTAAGGGCAAAGCCTCTAAGTTTATGATCACGCCTTTGCTACATGGACCACGTCTTTAGTAAACCCTACTGTCAGCCAACTAGCTCTAGTCTCCGCCGCATCTATACTGTTTCAATTCTGAATACCAAGTCTATGACTTCCCTTGTCATAGTCTCCTGTATGCCAACTAAAAAACGTTGTGGTTCAACATTAAGTCTAATCAAAGCAAGCAGTACCACAAAATTTGTGGGTCGGCACACAAGAGATTATGGCAGGCGAAGTCATAGACTTGGTATAAGGAATATAAACAGAATAGACTCAGATGAGACTGGAGCTAGTTGACTAACAGTTTGCTTTATTAAAGACGTGGTCCATGTAGAAAAGGCGTGACCATGAGACTTACTAAGAGGCTTTAACCTCGAATTAGTCACTCACAAGCAGTGTGGGAAATATCGCCTCTAGTAGCACAGATGGTGTGGGAGAGTTCGAGTGAAATACTTGAACCAGACGGATTCTACAGCGCAAGAGGGAGACTGTGATAAGACTTATGGTAGGAGGACTGCGTAACAATATGGCAGACTCTGATCAACATTCCCAGCACAAGGGTGAAGGGGGTGGAACGCCAGTGTGGAGTGTTAAGGGTTTTAATGAATGCCGCTCAAAGGAGCACACCACACTAGATTTAAATAAGGGAAAAATTTTAACAGTGAAGGTATGATAGGAAATGCGAATAGCCCAGGACAGAAAGTGAGATACCACAACTATTTTCACACGTTTGGTTGAACGATCGACTTCACTTGTCTCTTTTGACGAGTTGTTATGTCATTCTAAAAATGACGAGATTCACTGACGATGCAGACTACGATGCCGGCGAAAAGTTTAGGAATATACTACGTCCACGGTCCGACTTTGGAAATTATCATCAATACAATGGACTCCGGACTAGGTGCGTTCCTCTATGTCTTCCTACCAATATGACCAAGTTGCGAAAACAGTTAACAACCTCTATAAATCATATATTTAATTATGTTCATTAAATGAGTGCAAGCAATGCTTAATAATTTAGATGATAAAAATCAATTCTAAATTAAAAAAATATAAGCGCATCATATACTATATATTAATGGCCAAATAATTAGCAAATATGCACCTAAGGAGATAGTTAGTATAATAAAAGAAGATAGGGGACAATAATACATGAATTCCTGATATCGTTGAGCGATGAAAATAAGTAATAAAAGCTCAGGCTTGTTACGAACAAGCTAAGGATAAATCAGCATAAGCCTCATAATAAGCTGAACAACTAAGGACTAGAAAGAAGAAAACAGATTAGCAAGATGAGTTTTAATCATTTAAATTTAAGACCGCCAAAGAATATATAATGCCAGTAGTTAAGTGAAATAAAAATGTGAATGTCTTGGCATCTCCAACTGAAAAAAGCAATAATTTTCTATTAATAACCTAGAAATGTGGTTAGGTTCTGAACCTCGGGTTTATATATACTAAATCTACAACAAACCTTTTCTGACGTCGAGGTTGTATGATATGAGCTACTACTACCGATTCGCCGGGCACTACTTCTGCCTGCTGATTGAACATTTTCGGATCCAATCCCCGAAGAATTGTCTTTACTTGTAAGTCCAAGAGTAGGCGGAGAAGCAATACTGCCACATGTGGTCGCAGCTGGTTCATCAAGAAAGGCGTCACCTGAGGTTGAAAGGACAGATGATCCAGGATGGCCGCCTGAAGTTGACACATCCTCCGGCACATCAGAGAGCAGATTAATGTCCAATACCTTAAGAAAAGAAAAAGGAGAAGAATACACAAAAGTAAATAGAAAGGATTTGACAAATTGGCTAGCTTTTTTACATTTCGCTTTCATGGTTGATACGATCGTACCGATGATTTTTATGGCACTAAAATTGTGCTCTATTATGAAGATTTTACAATTCAATGCAATCGTGAAGTGATTTAACGGTAAGCTGTCAAGCTATAGAAGGGCGCATAGGTTCAATCCAAATCGAAATAACGAAATTAGCTCTTAAAGCCTATTATAAAAGAAAGACTTGGTTGGGCTATTTTCAGGGTAAGGGACAAAAATCGGTATTGATCAGTATAGACAAAATTCATTAAGCTCGAAAAGTTTGATCAACTAAAGCAAGAAAATAAAATAGTAAATTGAGCGTCATTATTCTTTTTAGTGATCCGGATAATTAACAATGCATAATTATTAAAAACGGTTAATCCTCAACAAACAATAAAATGCCGAAACTT